TCTACATTCCACTACACAACTAAAACTTGAAGTCAAACAGCAGCATGCAAGTAAGAATTGGATAAAAAAAAGAGTGGTACTAAAGTACATAAAAGTGTATAACAGCAAGGAGGAGTTTAAAAAACAAAGGTTATCGGAAATATAAGAACTTTCAAATATGTTAGTGAATGATTATGTCTATTCCACTGACAGCCGCTCCCGTGGGTAGTGGTCAGACTTGCATTTCATGACCCAAAAATTTATGCTAGTGGAAACGTTGGTTATCTGGGGTTCAACCAACTCAGAAAAGTCCGTTGGATAGTATTACTGACTTCGTACCACTCTCGACTACTTTCTTCTTTTTTCCTCAGTTTTCCTCGTTGTAGTAATTCCAAGTTTTAGCAGCTTGAAGTGTTACGTCAGATACTATTTTATTATCAACTGATTGTTTTCTAGAAACGCCACATTGTCGTGTCCTCACTGTATGACTGATTTCATCTGTAGCCACCAAACCTGTTGATGGAAGACTCACACCAAATCATCAACTGATTTGTGTTTTTAACTCGTTCGGTTAAATTGAAAAATATCAGGATTTGTAGTATAGTGTAGTTGTTTTTCAAACTTAAGATGCATGAAGGTATCAAATCCGATATAGGATATGGATAGATTTCACTTTTTAAATGGATATACGGAAAGTGGGGAATTTAATTTATGTCATCCAGGTTCGTGATGAACAGTGTCTATGATGTGAGGGCTGTGATGCAATCCAGATGCCCTAACTTCCGTATATGAAGCGACTTTGAAACCCATAACTCACTTGTCTAGGACAAGAAACCACAGCCTCTTAAATTTTTCAAGAACCTAGTCGTAATTGTGCCATATCTCCACTTTCTGAACTTTTTTTCTGTAAACCGTAAATTTTGTTTCCCATTACTCTCTAGCAAATGGTTTTGTAAATTACATGCAATTGATAAACTTGCGTGTCCGAATAGAGCTCAAAAGGTTCCATGAAGCTAATTTGCATATCATTTGTGTTTTAAAGGTGATCTTGAAACGCTGTATTATTGTTAATCCTGTGTTTTCTGTAATCGAAAAGAAATCGAAAGTAATAGTCGTATGTTTTTCACCTATTACTTCAAATTTATTTATTAAAGCATGAACACTCAAAAAAGTCAGTTTTGCAAGCATATTCGTGTAGCAATTGCATTTATTTAAAGAAAGAATCCCAAGACTTTGACCGTATCTTTTGTTTCTTTCGAAATTAAGTGGAAATCACAGATGCATCCAGAATATTTTGCAGGTAATCTAGTTAGATGTTTCAGTGGTCGGGTAGATTTCCACCACTTGTAAAAACTGCGAATTACATTGCGATAAAATAAATTCATGATTCGACATCTCATTATGCCCTTTCGACGACGTCCATCAATGCACCGTCACTCCTTATATCCGTCTCTAGATATTAATATCACCTTGTTAGATAAGTAGTGTAAGTTTACAAACTGAGAATTAATTAGTCGCCACAGTTGATTAAACGTGAACTAATTTGTCAACCATTTAATTGCGTGTTTTTAGATCAGGCGATTGTGCAATGGAAGTTACAAGCTCGATGTCATACTCAGCAGCTGCTTAGCAGACGATGCTGTCCGATTCGGACCAAGTTACACGTATGGTTCTTCCTACCGACTGATATCTGCTACGTTGACGTAGTAGTCGAGCTTGTATATCACAACTAACTACACCGGCTGAGATCCTTGCTTCATAAAAGTTCTACTACAACTGAAAAATTTTGGATAGTGGTTAGACAAAAAGCAGTCACTGTTATGGTGTAAATTGCTGCGTTATGATAGGAGTCCGAGGGCGAAGTTGAACTACTGACTGGATGTGGTTGTGACGGCAGTAAGTTGTTTCCAATAGATAACCAGAAGTCCCGTTCTGATGCCTTCTCCGTTAAAAAGAAGGAAGTCAAAAAACGTTGACCCCAAAAATATCACACTCCTCCTTATCCTACGGTCTTCTGGTGCTGGCGGTGTGGGTTTTCCTATCTGACGTTAGAATGATCAAATCGCAAATCAGTAATCCCCAAGTAGCTGTGTGTGACAAGCCTCATCCAGATATCTCATGGGCTCCGTGGTCACACAAATCTTCTTCCCCACGTACCCTACGGAAACGATCTCCACGTTGTGGACGACCGGGGATTGTCAACCGCTCACACGTTACCAGTAGTATACAAGGTCCAATCATACATAAACTTTCCCCACTACATCTGTCTTCTTTACCCTCACTTCCTGATACTAATATTAAGCCTCTCATAACTTCAACCTCTCACTCTGCGAACATTGTCAACGATCAAAGCCATCTAAACCTCATTCCCAGTCTTTCAAAAATCCCACATGTCATCGATTTCATGTAGGAGCTTTCTACGTTTGAACTCTATGCCAACTCAAACACCAAATCTGTGGAGTCTCGAGCTATGGGTGTATGCTGTGTCTCTGAGACACACATACAGTACCTGAGTGTGGTTTCGCATCACTTGACCCCATCAAGTCATTGCAGTGAATCTTCGAAATTCACTTTAAGATTATCCGCTGACGCAATGGCCAGTTCTCGTGGACTTTCTGGTATAGGCATACCATTGAGTCATAGAGCAGGGAGTGCTCTCCTCGACTGGTTTCCAGCAAACAGCCATCTATGTCGCTGTTCTACTGAATGGGTCTGTAAGGACTAGGAAGGATCTTATGGCCATCTGATACCTATCCGTAAACTCCGTTTGCGCACCACCGACTAGTTCGAATGATGCAAAGCATGAATTCTGTGAGAAGCTGACAACTCTGCTACAGAAGGCAAAACGTTCAGATGTAGTCATAATGGCTGGTGATTTTAACGCTCAAGTAGGAAAACTGAGCTGAGCCAATCGGAAAGGCATCTGAGAGGTATTTGTAGGATTCCCATGTAGAAGGCATGAGCGCCGGGTGACATTCAGGAACTATCTTGGCTTATTAAGGATACTGGGAAGGAGACGATGGTGAGTGCAACCATCACCGAAAAGGATGGGAGGCTGATAACAGGTGGCTAGAACGTGGGCAGAACACTTTGGATCACATTTCAACTGGCCTTCATCAACGCTTCAGTTGCCTATAATTCAGCTTAAACCTGAATGGGACATAGATTTCAGTACTCCAACTCTCATTGAAGTTGAGAAAGCTGTATCGAACCTGAAACAATGCAAAGCAGCAGAACCTGACAGTTTGCCACTGAGAATTTCGAAAGGATCGAGGTAAGAAACTGCTGAGCAGAGTAACGGAAGTACTAGTTAGTGTATTGGAATCAAAGGTAGTCCTGTCAGACTGGTCTAGTTCACTTATCATCCCAGTTTATAAGAAGGGAGAGAAGGCTTCCTGTGACGACCACATGGGGAACTAACTTGACTAATATTATGTCCGAGAACCTGGGGTCCACAGTTATGTGGCGCCTAACTGGAGCTCGAGAACAGCAAACCCGAGAAAACCAGACAGGTTTCAGACCTGGTCGAGGGTTCATCGGTCACATTTTTACCCTCCGACAGGCATACCTAACGGCGGCTAACTCTTGCCATATTTGTCGGCATGAAGGTGTCACTTGACCAGGTCGACCGTGATGTGATGTAGCAGTGTCTGACTGTGAAGAGAGTACCGAGCAAGTATATGGCGGTAACCAAAGCTCTCTAGTCGGACGTACGCATTCGTGTAAGGGATTACAGAGAGTTTTCATATGAACTGAAGACGAGTAGTGGTGTCTGCCAGGAATGCCCAGTCACCGTTCAACTTCGTCATAGACGTACTAATGGATATAAACTTTGGTACATCTGACTTCATAGGGATTGACCTACTGCCTGGAGGTCGTCCGGTCGATCTGGAGTGCTCAAACTATATTTTCATGCCAGGTGAAGACGCTAACAAAATGACTTGGGCAGAAATCTGAGTATGTTTGGCGTGCGTTTCGCATCTGTCAAATGTAAGATGATGCTCCGGGACTGGTCTGCTGCAAGTACTCCCAGTTTAATGATAGGCAGTGAAGTGGTCGACACATCCCGCCACTTCACTTATTTGGGGAGTTGCACGGGCTCGAACGGGCTGGCTGCTGACAAAATCTCAGTTCAGATTCAGAAGGCCAGTTTGGGATTTTCTAACATACGTCGCCTGTGGCATCGGTCAGATATCCGACTATCTATCTAAGGACGAGTATACTTCTCTGCAGTCCGTTCTGTCCTGTTGTGTCTGTGAGACACGGCCGTTAAAAGTAGACATGAAGTGGTTGTAGGGTTTTGATCATAGATGTCTTCAAAACGTTGCCTGCATTTGTTTAAATCATCGTGTGAACAATGTTGAGGTCAGGCAAAGGATATTAGACAAGACATGCAAGTCGATTGACTAGGTTATGAACCTTGGTCGATTGAGCTAGCTTGGAAATGTATTTGGCATGCCGAACCACTGCCTTCTTCCACATGCCATGTTAGTATAAGTTGGATTAGGTTGGAGTAGGGTTCTGGGTGGCCAGACCAAGATGTAGCACCAGTCGATGAAGTCTTTGATTGTTGGTCTGAGTTGTAGACTATCTGGCTTAGATCAACGAAGCAATAAGAATCAGCGTTTTGTGAATCTTGGTAACGGCTGAAAATCGGTCGCAGTTGCGCAGAAGTATACATTGCCTGCAACTACAAATGCTTGAAAATTCAGTCTAACCGTTATCTTCAAATTGAGTTTTGTCCCATACACCTTCGTCCACTTCGACATAAGTTTTTCTTTCCACTTGTTCTTTGTATATTACTTTGAATTGTGGATGCGTCAACCGATCTCTATGTGTTCGAGGTTCGACGTTGGTTTTACTTTTCTATTGTTCTTTATTTGATTTATCTTTGTGATGTGGTTTAAATTTTTCTCAGGTTTTCTCCTAAATGTATGTCGCCATTAGGTAGTGTAATTCCTACCAACACAAGTAATCTTATTTCATCTGTATACAAATGTCATTATATTTATCACTTTCAGTGGGTCCCAGAGATTGTACATCACTCGTCTAAAGTCCCGTTTCTTCTTGTTGGAACCCAAACCGATCTTCGCGATGAGGGGGCAACTAGGACTCATTTAAAGAACAACAAAATGAAACCGATCACTGCTGAACAAGGTGAACAGCTTGCCAAGGAGTTGAAAGCTGTCAAATACGTGGAATGTTCAGCTCTAACCCAAGTAAACAACCGTTTGAATATAGTGTATAATGCATGTATGTGTATAATGTAAATAGTACCGTATCTTAGCGAGCTAACGTGAATAAGCTTATAGTACTCAAACGAAATCTGAATTCATATTCAACTTTAAAAATTTGAATGCTTTGTCTAGTAAACCATACTTTTATCAACAAGTGTGATCACTCAATGAAGGTGATACCTGTACAAATTTTACTGTGGTTGAGATAAAATTACTTCGGCGTTGCTTTATGAAGTCGAATTAACAGGTGATTATTTAATGTAATTTGACTTGGGAAGTGTTATTGGAGAGGTTCATTTCAATCTTCAGTTGGTTGTCCAGACTGTCTAATTTCTAATGCTGGGACTTATGACTGTGTGCTGTTTTCACTTTACTCACCACTGAATGTGTGTAGATATTCGATTCAGTTTTGAGATTGAAGCTCGCCCCAGTTACCGATGTTTGAGCAGCTAAGTGGTATCAACATATCACAGTTATCGTGGCTTATCGCCCCTAATACTAGTGGGTTACAACGGTTTTTAATAACAGGAACCGTTTGAAGAGTTTCCTTGCGCAAACGGGTAAACTATCATCAATGATGTCACTTTTGGGCAAACTGCAAGTCCTGAGTTGCTTAACGTGACACGATGGTTACGGAAAAACTACTCAGGATAATCTGCTATTACAAGGTTTGGCTTCCTTTTCAAGTAGGGCAAGTAACTCATTTTGAAATAAACATCTTTTAGTTGAAGGAAACTGTTAGAAACTGGAAATATTACCATGTAAACTAAAGTCTCTAAGTTGAGTAACAGTACTTATCACCCTATACATTTTATGTCTGTAAAATTGTTTGTTGATTTCTTGTCATCAGTTTTACCAAGCTCTGTCTGTATTTCATCACTGCTATCAAATTATTTGTGGTACATACATGTTGAATATGTCTCTTTTCTTCTTTTCAGAGAGGTTTGAAAAACGTGTTTGATGAAGCTATCCTTGCTGCCTTGGAGCCCCCGCAAACTCGTAAAACAAAGCGATGTTGCTTACTTTAAAGGAACGGTTAATTTATAAATCTCAACTGTTACTCACTATTGATTTACGATGTAATGATGATAATGATCACCTTGGCTTATATCAGATACTGACTGTGAAAACGTCTTTCCTTCAACTCCGGTTTCTTTTCTTTCTTTCCCATTGCCTCCTAAGACGTATGCATATACTACTTACTGTATGTTGCATATTTTACACTAAATACCTTTACGACAACACTAATAATGATAATGGTAGTAATTATAAATACAACAACAAGACTACTTTCTTTTTCAGTGTATTACAGTTACAAACGCTTAGAAAATGTTTTCACCTAAATATTTGTTGCACTATCTTAGAAATATGGCGTTGTTACTTTACTATTCTTTTCTTTCTCTGCTCTAGCAAACGGTGATCTTACTGCTAATTTTGACACTACTGCTAATAATGCTCTTTGTCAAATATGCTTGTGAACCCTTAATGACTTCTTCTTTAAATCTGTAAAGGGGTACCAGGTGGTTTCTTTAAGAATGTTTCCCATCAGCCATCTTTCTTGACAAACGCTCAGAGTTTGTTGCTGGCATTATTGAATTGTTATCATCGTCTAACCGGTAGTAATAACAAGTATTGTTCAAAAAGAACCGTGTACCGATCAACTGAAAATAGTAAATCAGCAATGGAACTGAAACCCCTTCGAGATAGTTTCTCTTTCAAAAACATGTATTTTTTGCGTCTATTACGTAACTCTATTAGTCAACATGACAACTTATTTTATTTCCATGATAATGCTAGATTTACTTTAAGCTGGTAGTTCATATGAACTGATAAGTAGGTGAATGAGGCTATTAAAAGTCTAGGTTTCATGGAATATCATCCGTAACTTTCTGCATTTTGTTGACCATAGATTTTTAATCCATAACTTGAACAAACTAGTGTCATTGGTTTATGAATTCAAAACTCCACTCATCTAACTTTAGTTAAATAGTTATCTCGAATCGGTACGAAGATTCAGGAATAAACTACTGAAGCGAAATTTCCGTTTTGTTTAAGTTCAGATATTTTTTAGAGGAACTATGACCTATTTTTCTTCACTTACATTAAACCAGTGGGCCACAATTTCAAATTTCGACCTACCGAGGTTATGGCAGCTAGCCGGTAGGACAGCTCGCATACAATCGGTTTGGATTAATGTCTAATACAATAACCTTCATGTCATTTCCGAGTTTTGTTCTTATTCGTTGTAGCATGTTCCAATCATTCATCCTGTTGAAAATGGGGTTTAGTGAAGAACTTGTAAGAGGGATTATTATGCTGAAACTCTTTAAAGGGAAAGTAGTGTAACTGATATATGTGGTACAGATTTATGTGCTAGGTTATGAGCAATACCTGCGATACTACCTGGTTTTTCCAGCCATCTTTTGAAAGTCAAGTCATTTCTCTGACGAATGGTATTGTTTAAGTATTGTGATCAACCTGTAGGTCACATTTACGGTTCTTTGGTTAAGCTAAGAATTGCATTAAAACTCGTGTATACCTATTTCACACTAGCATAATGCTAGTATCCAACCACATCCAAACTAGCGTACCTATACCTATTCTGTGAACTTTCGGCATTGCCATACTGTCCAAGTCTTGGTAGATGGGACCTGAGGTTGAACCTATGACCTACTAGCTAAAAGTTGGGTGCATCATCTCTTTGGTTACAGCTTGACAAATAGGCTTCTAAAACAGATGGATACTAATCTCCCTGTGTTTTTGACTGTACAACATCTAGGTGAATTTGTAGTGAGCACTAATGAGAGACTAAACCAAGTTGCCAGATCATTGTGCAGTGCCATTGTAAATCTAAGCGTTGACATAAACTCAGAGTGATCCTGCACTACTTGTTATAGACCGCCGCTCGTATTTATCTTCTCATGCTTTGGTTATCAGTGGAAAACATGTTTCTATCTCAATTGATTGCATCGGTTTCGTAAGGGTGAAACTAGCTACTGTTGTATTAGCATCAACAATCGTTTAAATTTTCAGTGACGCATGCATAATTATGGTATTCCTTCCGAAGCAGTAATACATTCTTTGATAGCACTTCTGAAGATGAAAATGATAACTATATTTTTACAGTATTTTTACATAAATTCCTGTGGTATGAACTTTCCCAATGTATCTTTAGTCAGTAGCCTAGTTTTGTTGTGAAAAGTTTTGAATTGTTCACCTGGTTAAAACAAAGTATTATATTAGCCAGTTGACAAACAGAACAATATGTGACCATACCGAATGATTGACCTGTAACCTCGGTGGTTTATGTTAACATGAATTCAGCCGAATCATTATCTTCAGCTGACCTTTGAATTTACACTAAGTTCGATTGTTTCCACCAATACAGTATCTAATAATTCCTGTGTAAATTAGAAGTCAATGTACAGTTTATTTTCTGTGTATTGAAACTAAGCAGATGGTCGTACAATGTGTGGTTTCCTGTATATTTATCGATAACTAAGTCTTTACTGCTATATTCAAGTAACCCAGATATGAAACAACGTATAACCTCACACTGAGTACATCGGTTCAAGTTGCTAACAGCAGGGGAATTCTACCAAATTGGGAACAATTGTGCTTGATAACCTCTTCAGGCTGTATGTGCATAAATACACTAGGAAAGGTGAAATACGCTAGTTAATGTAAGGTATACGGTAAATTATTTAAATACTGAAACATTAAAATGTGCAAGATGAGCAAACGAAGCTTTTAAGATATTCAGAACTATGAGTTTATATTAACTTTTTCAGTGATGAGACATTTAAGGTTTTGAAAATATATGGTCTCCACTCTTTATTTATTTACGCAGAAACTACTATTGGAATGAATTACCATTCTTTTTAGTGTCCCATAGTGAAAAGCAGTAAACATTTGCATAACTTATTAGAAAACGTATTTTCATACTCTTCAACTAAAACAATGAAATACAAGATCGGTACAGTGGTATAGAAATCATTGAACAAGTGTGTTGAAAAGAAAGTATAAGTATCTTGTATTCCTAACCATTCTGTAACATAATTTGTGGTTTGCTGAAGACTTTAGCTCAACATTTTCCCTCTGGTGCTTCAGTAATATCACTCGAAGTAATTTATGAGGAAGCCATCTATTTCTATGGAATCTAGTGGCTTTAAGAACTTATATGGTACAAATCCTTTTAATTACACTTATTCATAGGAATCAACTTACTTCTTCTTAATGCATTTATGCGAAAGAGGGAGTAAGTTACATTTCGGGTATAAATTTCACTTCATACGAGTGGTCGGTATAAGGATAGGAATTTTGCATAAGTGAGACAATTTCTCGACCAAATACTCACTAAGTATGCTTGAATAAGCCTTATTACCTTCTAAACATTTTATCTTTTGTGTACAGCGAAGTTGTGATCACAGGAAGCAGCTTAAATCGAAGTCAACAATCTAAGTCATCAGCCGCTAACGTAGAAGTTTTGGATTCCAATCTCTGTTCCATGTCAGCAAAATCCTAATTGGATAACTTCGTCGCGCAGTCGACCAATCAAAATAAGTATCCGACTTATGATCCTGTGGTTTTATATGTTGTTGAAAACTGTAAAAATGTGTTTTTGTCAAATAAAGAGTCTTTCTTGCAGTCGAAGGCGAGTCTCTGTCTTCTGATTTTCGCAGCTCAGTTAAGTATCAGGTTTGGAGTGAGAACAGTCGCTATTCGTATCCAGTCCAAGTGTCTTATCGCGTTATCGTTCGCTAATTTATTATCATCCACTCGGTCACTTCAATCGATCTTTTGTTTAACTGAAAATATTTTTACAATATCAATAATCTAATTCTTCTCTTGTATTACTAATACATGAAGAGTTATTGACTTTTAATTGGTAAATGTATGTGACCGTTCAGTTGTTTATTAGTGAAATAAAAAGTCTAGTTGATTCACATAAACAAAAACATATCAGTGGTTTATTGAATTAAAAGTGCAATCCTCCAAAAAATTTTTCTATAATTTGACAAAGTTATTTAAAAGTTTAATTTACTACATTTTCTCGGATGATTTTATGCTGGATATTTGCCTGTAGATAACATGAACTTATGTCCTGTTCTCACTACCAAGGCATATCTGTAACTGAATGATAAGCTCACTCACCTGATATTCGAACTGGCAACAATCAGAGATGTAATCGATGAATTATTATTCGGGTTATATATACGCTGCATGGTTAACAGAAATTGTCAAAGTCATTAGATCAGTTTAAACCGTGTGTGCATTTTTGTGTGTGACATTCTTTCGACTTACGTTTTTCTCCAAAGATGCTTTATATGTGTAACAGTGTGAATATTTATGTTCTGAATTGGCTTTCAGATGTAGTGCTGTAAAGACCATTTGTTGGTAGGCTTTCCTCTGACAGCTTGGTGGGCAGGTAGAAAAGCTTGATTTTGTCTGTGGTAGTTCATTCAGTCTGCAAAAGTATCTGGAGGAGAAAAACGTGATCCAGCCACTCAACTGCACAAAGAATGTGTTTACTTTTATTATTATCAATAATAATAATAACAGACGCTCGATAAAAGTCAATCATACCAAACGAAAAGAAAAGGTAATCTAAACATTGCGCATGGTTTCAAATATATTACAGGATAACTAGCCACATTTTTGTGCTACTTTTAGTAAACAGAATGAATTTATCAGTGAAACAGATTAGTAACTGAATTTCTTTAACGTGATTGAACCCCTACAACAAGTTGCACTGTTTTCACATTAATCTATTTACAGCAAGTCAACTACAAGCGATGTTGTAGACAGTTTCTTAAACAAGTTTATAATATAAATAATCTTCAACTCTTTCATTCGATGAACAGTCATTAAGGATAAAAATGACCGACATAAGTTTCACAACCACATTATGGTACTTGTTGGTAATATATATATATATATATATATATATATATATATATATATATATATATATATATAAACTAAAGTGAGCTCACCCTCTCTTGCTCAAACCTTAGTGTATATTTCATGCATGATTCAGTACAGGATGAGTAAGATTTGCAGACCGTGAATAATCCCATCTGGAACTTAGGTAAAGAATAGTTGGTTATCAGATTGTAATCAATACAGTGGTGTTTAGTCCTCTTGGAATGTCTCCCTGCTCATATTATATCATGCTGCTGAATTAGTCAGCACCGATCTATGCAGTCAATGACTGTGCATTCGAGTGGAGTAAGCGGTTGTTTCCTGTAGGGGTGGCGAAAGATATTCCATAGATGAAAGCGCTAGTTAATACAGCTCAAAATCAGTTTTCGTTGTGTTGAATCTTTTAACTTGGTGTAAATAAACAAATACATTATTCCATACCTCGTTCCTCACTCTTTATAATTCTCTTCATCCTCTCAACAGATTTAATTGAGTTGTAATTAAGGGTATGATAACAGTTTTAAAATAAATTTTACTGAATCTTCAGTAATTGTTTTGAAACACATGAAGTATTTTTATCGATCCGAACGTGAACACATGATACAAACGAAATTGCAAGCGAATATCAGTTTGATTCGCTTATCGATCGCGCCTATTCAAGCTAAAAAGAATTGTGCTTTGTTAAATAACAAGTCAACAATGTGACATGCGTAGTGTGTGTGTGTGTATGTATGCATCTCTATGTCTGTGTTGTTCAATGTTTTTTAGGTGACTAGAATCAGTATTATGATTCATTCCAACAGTATTCACAT